CTCCTGCCTCAAGGCTTTCTGCACCAGGGAAGGTCTCATTAAGAGGGGAAATTCTGGCGACTTTTGCAACAATTCTGCTAATCCAGGGGCTGCCCAGGGGCTCTGCCTTAGGACCTGCAGTCTCCAGCCTGGATAGGCACAAAGGTCCTCATTTCACCATCCACAACTGGAAGCTCACAAACGCTTTAATGAACAGCAGAACTGGGCAAAGCTCAGTGGTTCCAGTTCCTGGGGGTGTCATTCTCCAAGCCCTGAGTTTGATCAAAGCCACATGAGTGGCAAAGGGGGAAATCAGTCAACACCACAGGGTTCCACCAGATTTCAATGGGAAGCCATAAAACCAGCTCCAGGTTTCTCAGGGCTCAGCCCACTACAAGCCCTTCCCCAGTGAGTGGAGAATTTTTAAACAATGCCATGGCTGGGATTCAAATCCACCCAAAGCCAGGTGCCTGTGAACCGACCGGATCCATTCTGCAGGGGGAGCAGGTAATGGGGAGGGCTGCTCCCCCTGCTCCTGGAGAGGGACTGCGTTTGAGCCCTGACCTTGTTGCTAGGAGAATTAAGGGGGTTTTTTTCATGCAATTTGGGAGGTTTCCGCTTGTGCTGCAATGTCAGTTTTTCACGGAAAATGAAGACTGGAATGAAAAGAAAGCATGTGTGTAGGAGGGGGAACTTATTCTATTAATAACAAAAAAGTATTTACTTATACCTTCAAATTTGCCGACAGAGCCTAAGACGGAGACAGGAGGTGGAGGAATAACAAGGTGCAACTTCAGGCCAACCTCAGGGCTAATTTGAAGTAAACAAGGTGCATGAGATAAAATAACTTCGTTCTGGAAGAGGAAGAGCTAAATGGTTTGATAACATGAAATTACAGCAACATTTACAAGTACCTAGAGATAAATCAGGATAAGGAGCTCACTTCCCCAAACAGAGCATTCCTGTATGTGCTAAGACACGTCACAGACACACAAATGGTGTTCAAATACTGACAAGATAATTTAACCGTTTCTTTTATGATCCCTAATAGGATAAATCATTCACACGATTCACCTACACCATGAGGAGCTGTAGCCACAGCAATCTGTTAGGGGGAAAATCAATTTGTGAGGGTTTTCAGTCATTTTTAAGCATCAGGTGCCCAACGTTTAAAATTGAATCAGTTCCCTATTTAATCCATAGCAAATCACTCCTTGTGTCTGTCAGGCATCCCCTCGCTCCTCCAAGGAGAGGAGAGAGCAAAGGGAGGCAGCTTTGGCCAAGCATCACTGGCTGCCCCAGCCACGGGCTCACCCTTCCCTTCCCTTCCCAGGAGCTCCTGGTGACCGAGCCAGGGCTGCAGCCTGTGTGCCAGCTGTGCCAGCTGGGAGCTGTGCCCAGCCACATTCCACACACCCTGCACTGCCAGGGACGGCCCTGCAGAGCACCCACCCTCCACAACACCGAGCTTTGTGTTTTCAGCTGATTCCTCACCATAAAGCACTTCAGGGGCTGTCTGGCCCAGAGTGATGGTGTGGCCACAGGGCAGAGCAGGTCCCAGAGCCAGCCCCACATCCCTGTCCCCTCCAGAGCAGAACGAGGGCTCCCTGTGCCCCAGGGGCTGCCCCTGCCCTCTGGCCCCTCCATCCCAAGGCAGCAGCTCCAGCCCCGGCCCTGCTCAGAGCAGGGCACAGCAGAGGCACAAACCAAACTGCTGGTGTTGGCACAGCATGCAACAAGACCCTGCCACCCTGCAGGTCAGCTCTTCGCTAAGAAATCGTTCAGAGCGTGTTTGTGTTTAAACACACCCAACAGCTTTGGGAAGATGTGGGATCTGTCAGCCAAAGTTCTGATAAACCCCATATAAAATGCCTGATCTAAAAGCCACCTTGCAGGGAAAGCTCCTGTGGCTCCAGCTCTGTGCAGGGGGAAGGGAAAGCACAGCCCGAGCAGCACCAGGGAATGGGGAACAGCACCAAGGGATGGGGAGCAGCACCAGGGAATGGGGAGCAGCACCAAGGGATGGGGAGCAGAACCAAGGGATGGGGAGCAGCACCAAGGGATGGGGAGCAGCACCAGGGAATGGGGAGCAGAACCAAGGGATGGGGAGCAGAACCAAGGGATGGGGAGCAGCACCAAGGGATGGGGAGCAGCACCAGGGGTGGCTCCAGCACCGAGGGTGGCTCCAGCACAGCATCTCCTGGAGCACGGGCTGGGTGGGGAGCAGCTCTGCTGGCAGTGGGTCGGTGCCCGGTGCCAGGCAGGGACCCCAGCAGTGCCAGGGTTTTGCAGAGCAGGGCTGGAGCAGCAGGGCTCTCCCTCCATGCAGGATTTGGGAGCTGTGCACCCTGAGCCAGCCCAGGCGCCTGCAGCTGAGGGCAGCAGAGCCCAGGGCTCAGCAAGGAGCAGCCCCGATTGTTTGTGCAGAGCATTTGGCGAGGGGCTCTCCAGTCCTAAACGTGAAACATGTTGAACTGACACTAAAGCACAATTAAGTGCCAAAGCATTTGCTGCTTCTACAATTACACTCCGGAGCGCTTTGGTGCTCCTGCTCTCCTTTTTTTATGACCCAACTTGGTCTTATTGTAGTTTGGCTTTCTCGTTTTAAGTTCTCCAAATGGAAAGGATCAAAGAGCTCTTTGTTGTCGTAGCAGGAGCGGGGCGCTGCTGCCGTGAACAGCCGCAGCTCCGGGGGAATTCGCTCTG